AGGGTACTGCCTGTTGCCATCTTTCACATTTAGGTGGGGCTGTGACTAAGTTATCCTTTCTATATATATATATATTTTTTTTCTTCCAGTGTCGTGTACCATTTAGATTTATATTGATTGTAGCTCACCCCTCTGATTGGGATCCCTTGTCCTACCGTCACCTTGATGTCGGTTCCCAGTGAGTGTTTTTGGATTAGAGCTGGACCAATCAACATAAACTCTCACACATATGTTGGTTGTGATTCCTCTTCCTAGCTCAATTTTCATTGTTTTGCCTCATATCCTCTACCTCTGTGTGGTTGGTCCCGAGTGGTTAATGTTGCATGCACATGTGCTCCAGTTTCTGTGCAATCCTATCTGGAGGATGATGTTCTTTTAGGCGAAGGTTGTTCCTCTAGCACACTATTACCTCAGAGAGTGTTTCCCCTATGTTAGGCTGCTGTTGTGCAGTGGGGTTCTGTTTGGTTTGATGTGAACTGCCACATTGGCACATTCCTTCCTGCCGTCATTTACATCTCGTGTTCCTGGATGTATGGTTGTCATTGTGGATTTGCACACATGTGCCCTGTTTTGTAGTTTGGTTTGAAAATCATTTCCTTTTGTTCTACTGAACTTGAGGTGAAGACAGTATGGATCCTACCATGGGTCAGAAGTCTTATTTCCAATGCTGATTGGTTTTGGACTGGAAGTCTTGTCTGTGGATGGTTCTTCTACGGTTATTTTTCACTGGGATTGAGATTCAGGTATATTATGGTTCAAAGTTGCATCCACCTAGTTTTTTCTTTCTCTTTGGTTGTGCTCCTCCCACTTTTTGCCCATGTATGCAACTCCTATTTTTACATTGGGTGCTGAGTATACCTGGTACAGAAGTGGTGTGGTCTCCCACTCATGTTCTTTTCCCAGCAAGGATCACACTTCATGGGTGTTCTTTGGATGCTTTTGAAGGATACTTCTTTATATCCTTCACACTATTCCCTCCACCTGTTCAATGTGGATTTTAGCTATACATGTGAGAGGAGGTGATGTACCATATCAGAAGTTATTATTTTCCTATAATGAAAATATATTTCTGATAGGTACTAACCTCTTTTTGCCTTTCCACTTAAAACTGGTACTTTTTTTTCTGCTTAATCTTGAAGTGATACTTTGGTAGAATCGAATAAAGGAGGTCACATGTGTCAGGAGGGTGGGTCGCACTCCTATTGGTAGAGGGTTGTTACAGGAGGATTTACATGCGAGGTTCAGTGAACCATTTTGATCAGGGGGTAGGTGGGGGCTTAAGGCATGTGGCATGCAAAAAAATACATGAGAATAGCTATACACCTGAGGGGAGGTAAGTACTTATCAGAAATATATTTTCAGTATAGGAAATTAATAGCTCTCAAACAGTTATGGTACTTATTTCTGAAATATATTTTCTCCCTCCTCTCCACAACTAGGAATCATGTAATTTCCATCGTGACTGGAACTATGAAATATGGATTAGGGCAGGAAAGTAGATCTCATATATGCCCTCATGACTCAAATGCAATAAGTCACATGGAAGTTAAGAGGCTGGAAGAATTTTGGATAAGGTGATGCATGCTGTGCATTGTACCAAGGACATTTAGAATTTTAGTCATATTTGTTTACAGCATGACAGCAACTAAACAACAAAAGGCTTTTCATATTTCAGTATATGTATGTGTCTCAAATTCATGTTAATTAAAAAAATGTAAAAATTCATTTTGGCAGGAAAATCAGAATAACAGTGCATAGATTTTTATTTTTCAAATGTTTCTCTCAACCAAAATAAGAGATTTGAGAAATATAAATTGCAATTGCAACTAAACAACTAAGAGGTATAAAAAATGTTTGAGTTACCTACATAAGATTTCCACTGAATTCATTCCTGTGCATTGACCACTTTAAAAAGAGGTAAGAACATACTGTTACTTAGTTATTTTAGTAAAGTACAGTGGTAGAATGATAGCTTGTTGTTTCTGTGTCAACACAGCATCGCTTTTAAGTTAAGAGTGACATGATTGTATAAACATTACTTTGCTTGACATGTGTGTAAACTATTATCTAGAGATTTGGTATTTCTTAAGTGTTTAAAAGCAATGGACAAAATATCTGGGTTCACATCACAACTTGCGAATCAAAACAATCCCAGTTGCAAATCACTTTCCTCTTTTATGTTGTCTTCGAGACCTCCCAGAATACAGTGAAAGCACTCTATTGTTTCACTTGATAAGCCAAAGCTGATGTTCATTTCATGGAAATTCCGGCCAAACAGCACATACAGTACTTTCATGCTTTGTCATGTGCGTATCGCATACACTTCTTAGTAGTCTGTTCATTGTGTTTGGAATGCACCCGTAGCTTAACTTACTAGACTGTGTAAGTCCAGTACATACACTGCACATTTAGCATTGAGCTGGTTATGAACTCTGTCAATACAGGCTTGGCTCCATGGAATGACCACATAATCATTTTTACTTGTATATAATTTTAATACTATAACTTTTGATACAGTATGTGTATCTTCACAAAATTTGGCAGGCTTTTAGTAAACATTACATTTCTTTTGTACATAAAAAATCAGATTTTTAATGAAAAATTTGTCCATACAGACATAGTATTTTTGATCAGTCCAAGTGTAACATGATTTTCACGTTAAGATTAAAAATACTTTTCTTCATCTCAAAAATCTCAAACGTTTTTTTTTAAAACCTTTAGATTTTATCTGCTATTTTCTCTACCCTAACTCTGTACAAGGTTGTCAATTTGACCAACCTCATAACCACCAAAAAAAAAAGGAATAAATCCAAATTACCCTTTTGTTCTTTCTAGAATGACTTCAAATTGTAACATGCAACTACATTTCTTATCCTAAGAAGCTTTAAACTCATGGCTGTATACTTCCATTTATATTTTATTGTTTTATTGCTCTTTCAACTGTGTCTTAACTACTGTTCCTGCCATTATAAGTTGTAAATCACTTGGGAAACATGGAGCTCACATTACACTAGTGAATTATGTTGGAGGGTGGTGAATAAATTAGAGAAGAATGGATGCCAAAAAAAAAAATGTCATATTTCTCACATTAGGGGAAATTCAATATTTTTTTTAATATTGCCTTATGAGATTAAGAACTTAAAACTTATGCTATTGAAATATGGATTATTAGTTACAATTTTATGCTATACTAATTGGTATACCATGAACAAAAAAGTTGTTTAATTAAATTTGGAATGTCACTCACTAAACAGCTCGTGACATGTACAGTAAAGGATGCCCATGGCTAGAGGGGTAATTACTGCTGAAAAATCATTAGAACTTTTCTTCTTCAAAAAGCCAAGGAGACCACGTTGTGATGAGAGTGAGGTCTCGCCAAAAAAATAAATAAACTAGATTAATTTGCAAAATGATTTGTGGCAACCTTGTTCAGTTGAAATATCCTAAAGTCACTTATTTCTCTGGTTAATCAATTGTTGCATTATGTTGTGACAGCTGAGGTGTTTGGTATTTCTTGCAGATTTGATGTTTTACTTTGTATACTAGGAACTTTTTTTTTTTTTTCGAAAGTAAGTCGTACTTAGTTACGGTTAACGGTAACTAAGTTAGTAATTAAGGTTACGGGTCTAAGGAACGTCGTAGTACGTTACGTTAAACTTT